TGTATCCACCCATCCATTCATCCATCCTGTATCCGTCCATCCTGTACCCATCCATCCATTCTGATCCATTTATTCATCCATCTTGAAATTACGCTTTAACATTTTTGTTCATTTTATGGAATAATCTAATCAAAAAAAGAGAAATCCCTACTAAACTAGATTCATCCTCCGACAGTGAACATAGGATCTTTTTACCACAGACCCATATCATGGACATCTGTGCTTCCAGAACAGAGAATCACGAACCAAACCATCCACCTTCACTTCCATTTATGCACCAACTCTGACCCAAAGTACTTGAGATTACTGACCACTAAAGTGGGGCAATTTGCAAATTTGGTGATCCCTAAGGTAGTGGATAGGGTGATTAATGCGTTGAAAGTGGATGAATGCCACAGTACAAAGTGGTCCAATGGCAGACACCAAATTAAAAAGAAAGGGTTAACAATAAGTGTTAGGGGTATAGGAAGAATGGATAATTGGGTGGATCTTGAACTGACAGATTCACAATATGCAGGCCAAGCAAAAGGAGGCTCTAGGAGAGATCGACCACCTTAAATTGCGTCCAAAATATGCATTTTTTACTTCTTTTTACCCTTTCCCTCTCTCCATTATTCCCATTTTCTACTAAAAGGAATTGCCACAAACATTTCCAGCTGAATTTTTAAATGCGTCAATTTCTTTCCTAATTTGATGGCTGCACACGATTATTTTTTTTAATTCTAACACGTGACATTAGGCACGCGTGCAAAATTATGGTAAATCCTGCATCAGTGCGGCACCCCAAGACTCTTCTAAAGATGAAAGAAGACCTAGTACTCGAGCAGGATATATATATTCAACACGCGGAAGGGATTAGGTCTACTGACATGGCCCCGAGGCCAGCCTTTCCGGCAAAGGTACGATGATCAGTATGCAAAAATGGCCCTTTACCACGACCGAGAGTTAAAAAAACACCCAACGCATGCCATAGTTGCTCTCCACCTTGGAGTGTTAACCCTACGCCCTCGTTGGTCGACTTCCCGCTTTAGCCATCACAGCGCAAATGGTTTCACGAGGAACCACTTATAAACTAACTGCGACAGTCATGGAATCTCCTCGCAAACTCACTGATTCCGCTTAACAACTTAAGCAAATCTGCAGTTTCGTCCTGTATACGAATTGGACCTGCTGGATTATGCGTGACCATAAGTAACGTTGCAACACTGACCTTAAAGTGATTTTAGGCAAAAAAGATCGGAATTTGACACCGTTCTGGGAGTGCAGGTTTTCGATGTTTCTTGCTCCTCGTCGTAGTGTTTTTACCTCAGAGCCGCCTAGCCACAGCTTTCTGGATCTGTACAGCTACTAGAGATGGCTGAGGTATAATGAGTTTAACTTATAGACTTTGCATTATCTAGGCATGGTAGGCAGCGAAACGTTTTGGATGGTTCACGATTAATGTCGCTTCCGTTGTTAATTGCTTTCACGCAAAACACAGGACCGGGATAGTTGTTGAAGATAGGCGACATTCCCAGCTCCTCTGTTCTGAGTCGTTTCTGATTTCTCATCCGCAGTAAATTCACATCTTTCGTCTCATTAAGGTGTATCAGCCAGAGGCAGAAACCAGGACATCCGTCCATTAATATAACACTCTCTTTCCGCTACCACCAGCGTAGTTTCTTGAAGTTTTCATAAAGGTGAAAAAAAAACAATTTCTTCGGGCAGAATACGTATATTTAACACATAGAAGGGATTGAGGCTACCGACACGACCCGAAGGCCAGCCTACTTGATGAAGGTACAATGGCCAAGGCACAAAGCCGCGCTTGACCGAAATTGAGAGTTAAAAAAAAACAGAGAACGCATTACAATCAACTCGTTTTTTTTAACTCTCGCTTGTGAAAGTAGGCCGTATTGGTACGTAAACAAATGGATCATCCCTCAAAGTATTATCAAACAGTGGTTTCCTGCAATCTCTATAAACGCAAATGACAATGCAAAGTATCCAAGGATAGACATTCAGGTCAAACAGTAGGCACTGTAACACTGTAACAACAATGAGCAACGTCAATAGCACGTGCGCCACCACTGCATATAAATTTAAGCAATGGGTTTATTCCATTAGGGAAGCTACTTTTTATCAAGAAAAAGTAAGCTACGTAGTCAAAATCACATAAGTATAAGTCCACCGTGGTAAATAATCTTCATTCCTATGCCCTGCACAACCCAATCTACCTTAAAATCGTGACTTCTCAAATGATATCATCACTTATTTAACTGAGTTAACGAATCCCAACGGTTCAAGGTCAGGTGGGCCCTATAAACAAAGCAATTATGATCCCGATGGTCAGCTAGGATGTAAACTGGCCAGTGTCGCTTAAACGCCTTACACACAATTCAAAATTGTTTACGCCCTACTCAAAAACTTTAGCCTGAAATTCTGGAGTAATTTGAATTTCTAACCGCACAACTACTTGCATTCCCCGCTGACGGAGACCAAAGACTCACCTCCCATTTAACAACACACTCGTTTGAAAATAAATAGAACAGGTGAGAACGAATAAAATAATGACACAAAGCATATTATTACTTAACAACATAAATGACGGGTCTAAATCATGACGCATAACCATCAGTACACACCATGCAGTGAGCGCATCCAGATGGTGAGAAAATCACACATAGGAACAAAATTAGTGAAATCTACAACCGATTACTTCCCCATCCCGTAGTCTGGAACTGGGAGTCACCGTGTCCCTCTTCGTTCACTTCTCCGTCACCCTCCACCGCCTCCTCTCTTCTCGCTTCGCTCGCCTCCTCCTCACTACCGCCACTGCCTTTCGTAATTACAACCGCCAGTGGATTTAGAGGAGGACCTGGGAGCCAAAAAGAGGGTGAGAGTTGTGAAAGTGCCTAATCGAGTCGACACAGCGGCGTATACGGTCAATTAACTCACCAATGTAGCTGAGAAGGACTGGGAGGAAGATCAATCCCACAAGAGCACCAAAAACAATGATTCCGAGATACATACGGAAGTAGAATACCTGGAAGAGTCGAGAGTTGGAAAACGCCAACACTACGATGCCGCCCAATTTTGTTAGCGTGATACCACGCAAAACCGAGCTACCCATTTCTGAGAGAGCTTCGTGGGCGCGTTGAAGCCTCGTCTTACAGCCACTCACCGTGTAGGCCCGCACGACGTGGGAGCAGAATTCCACAGCTATTCCAGTGCACTAAGAAGAAGTGGCCAATCCTTATCACCTTCAACAATACTGCTAAGAGGACTGATGCAGGTTAGAGTATACTTACTACAACAAGATTGACGAGGGAGATTGCATTCAGATTGATGCTCCAGAGACACATGAGACCGAGGAGGCTAACATCGATACACGCCACCCCGAGAAGGACGATCAGCGTTGCGGCAAAGTTGAGGCCCAACAGAAGCAAGGTGATCACCGTTATGGCAGCTAGACAGACACTGAGCTGAAGCATCGTCTCGCGTTGCATGCCTAGGTATTGCTCGTAAAAGACGTAGAAAACGCTAAAAAAAATACAGTTTGAGAAGGTAAGACTCAAACAGTTGTGTGTTTAACTAGGCGACTTTTAGTCATTCTTTTTGGGCCATAAATGTGACGGATCCAGTAATAACTAGGACAAAGGAAGGAACTTTACACTACCCACTGTCTGGACACCACGCTAAATTGACCCAGACAGAGTACATCTGCTCCCAGTGGCTGGAAATGCAGACCTACAACAGAGGCAGGCATGGATCCGCGTTGACTTCCAGCGAACGCACAAAACCTGACCTCCAGGTAATGACCGGCAGTGGTGCGAGACAGGATTCAAATGGCTCGGAAACATCCGTAAAAGAGCTGCTTAAGATGCTGACATGAGCACTGGGTACTAGAGTCACACTAAGTCGAAAAACTTTTCGGGGTTGAAAGCAGCTCCAAACAATGTAAAAAGCATTAAAAATGATGACAAAGGGAAAGTCGTTCAACGCCGCAGACAAAAATACCTGTAAGGGAAGATTGTATCGTTGGCAGTGGAGGTGCCTGGGCTTTGATTGCTCCAGTGACGCAGTGCATGATCAGCAATATGTCGTGATAACCTTAACGCCTCAGTATAGTCCCGCGGTTTGCGAAGCACAGTGTGGTAGGTCATAAAATGCGTTGCTCCAACAGACACGTTGGCATTGTCATTACCCCTTTCGATCAATTCCACAGCCGTGGCAAATGCCGCTTTTCCGCTGAAATTCCAAGCACATCAGAAGTGACATCGGTGGGAAATATTTTGGGGAACCACAGTTTGGTACTCACCCACGGGGACAGTTGTTATCGGGATTTTGTTCAAGAAAGCGCGGGATAAACCGATTGAAAGTTTCTCCCTCGGGCAGACGGGAGTCCGGTGCTAGACAGGGAACGCAATCCGAGGTGGAATCCGTGGCATTGCAGTAGACGTTTGGATCAGTCCTTAGAACACGGCAACAGTGAACGGAGGGATCAGTAGCTTGCAGCCAATTGGCGTATTGGTCGATCCACACCATGGGCGGTGAAGCGATATGCGATCTAAAGGATTAATAACGCTAAAAAGTCTGCAGCTCACAAATTTGCCGATTTCGCGTATGCGCCGATGATATTTGGCAGGGACAAATTGGAGCATCCAGCAAAACTGCAAACCGAGTCCTGCCCATCCATCCACACAGTATAGTTGTGACCGACTGTCACAACAAAGAAGACAGGCGGACCGACAGCCAGATATTGGGCGATGGCGTCAAAGTAGTCCAGAACGTAAGATCCCAGTGGCATGGAGAGACGCTGGTCCAATCCCACTTCAAGACGTGTGGTTATCAAGGCCATGCAGAGACACATCCACACAAGAAGAATAACGATGAGGAAAGGGCGAATCCATTTTGAAAGAATGAATGGTGAAAGACCGCGGGAAACCGCTTGATATAACCAGGTAGTTTTTGGCGCAGAAGCATCACCTGAATAAGAAAGGGGTTCATAAAATTTCGTCTACTGATAATGCCAGTAGATAGGTTATTACCGTTGTTCAATTGAGCCGAGCTTTCCGGCTGTTGCTCGGTGGTATTTGGCGCTGAAATATAAAGGGAATAAAAATAGTCATTGAAAACGACCTACTGATAAATAATTGGTGGGTTAGTACGCACGTGCGTCGGCAATTTCAGCAGAGGGATGGGATGGGTGGTTGGTCGAATCTACGGGTCGATTCTTGATGCAACAAAGCACGTCCCATTTACGCGCCTACAAAAACAGCGATTTGGAGATCTGACGCAGTCTCGTGTTGCAAGATGACAAAAGTTGAAAATAAGCTTTTCTGACTTAAAAATATAGGTGAGAATCCAAATGATTATTTGTTAACCAACCGCTTCACGACGAGCATCCAACGCAAGTAGAGCCGTGAAAGCGAAGATTTGCAGAAGGAAGTTGATGACAAGTGAGACTCCGGCGTATAGCGCAAAAACTCGTACTGCTGGCATTGAAGTCATTGAGCCTAAAAGGTAGACACAATAAAAAGAATATTAAGAGTAAAAATGTGTCCTATGGAATTACGAAATAACAAGTTGGCTTGACATTGCTACTTATATTAGGTTTAAGTAAACCAACGCACCGCAGAAGAATGCGACCGATTCAGCAGAGCTAGTGAGCAGGATTGAGGGACCAACACGGCCCAGAGTTCGCCCCACACGCTTTTGAACTTCAATACGCAGATCAAATTCACTTCCATGGACAACTTCAAACAGTCTATCGTTGGGTTCCGCCGCGTCAGCATCCGATTGGTTGTTATGCTGCGGATAAGATAAATTTCGACGAGACTTATCCATTTGGTAGTCCTGGACGAGAATGAAGATGTTGTCCACACCGACAGCCAAAACGAGGAATGGAATGACCTCGATTATGATTAGAGTGGCAGGTACGCCTAGGTAGCTCCAAAAACCGATCGAGGCGGCAACAGAGGCTAGAACAATCAGCACTCCGCCCAGACCGAGAGTCATCTTCAAGTCGACCTATAGAGAGCGGTGTGACCGGAAGAAAATTAGCAACATCATCCAGTCGCCTAAAGTGACAGTAACCTTCAAATTCCCTATCAAGTGAACAATAAAACTCTGAAGAATAAACAAAAGGTGAGAGCAAGTGATGGATGACCCGACAACTAATCGGGTCAATAGTGAATCAGCCTTCAAATAACCAGTTCAACAAGTGAATACAGCTAATGTCATAGAAACAGTCACGTAAGTAAAAGGTAAACTATGCAAGCTAAACGAAGGTGTTTATGGGATTGAGTCATGCGCTGTGGCGCCTTTAGATTCCCATCATCGTAATCACGCCACATGGTTGATTCACAGTGGTAACAGCATGCACTCAATTCAAAAAACCGGCTTCGTCAGACTTACTGGGATGTTTCGACAGGAGCTGTAGGAACCCAGGAAGAGACTGACGTAGACGAACATCACAAGATAGCTGATTAGAACCGTCAAAACATCTGCATTGGACTGACGTTCGATTTCGTCCTCCACTGATCGCTAAAATGGTGAGACGACGTTAGCCTCAAGAGTGGGTAGTGTGGAAGGGCAGCAAAGCCGACAACTCACCTCTGCAGAGAAGCTGACAACCACCTCCTTGGAATGTGCGTCTTTCCACTCACGCACGGCGGAGATGAAGGCAGCCTCCCAAACTAAACAGCGTTGAATACGATCTGATTTGAGATCGACGTCATTTTGAACCAGAATTGTTATGACTGCCGCCTCTGCTAGACTGTAATTCGCATCTACAAGGTGTACCAACAATTACCATCAGTTTGTCAACGCAGCAGCATTCAGAAAAGTAGGGGATTTACCCGAGAATCCGCCAAAGACTACATTGGGCATTTGTGGAATACCGGAAGATCCGAGACACTTGGGATTAAAAACGTCCTTTGTGCAGTTCAACAAATGATCGAGGTAATTCTGCGGGTAGAAAAGTAGGGCCTAGTTATTTGGAGACAATAGCCTAGTGAAAGCACACGAAGAGAACTTGCGTGTTCCCACAGTTTGTACACATACACAGGTAATAAGAGGAGGGACTCACAGAACTGTTAAATTGAGTGACATTGTGCTGAAAGTACTCCAGAGGGCTGGTTATCGCACAATCCTCTTTATCCGGTTGCATGGGTTTGAAGCAGATGTCAGCAAGACTGACGTTGGACTTCACGGCCTCCCCATAGGCGGTGATGTTACTGATTCGCAATTGAAGGTCGAGAACCTATACAACAACGAAACGAGTAAATGCAGTTCCAGACACTGATGACATTACTGCAAAATGGCAGACTGCCGCGACAGTGGTGGTGCAACAACAGCAACAACAAGTGTCAAGTATGTTCTGTCAGTACTTACAAAAGTCGGTGCACAGTTCGGTAAACCACACGCCGTTCATCTAGCTGGTAGCTGGTTGCTTACATGCAACAACGCATGTCAGTGAATGAGGTATCTTGGCAACGAGAACAAATGAAACCGTGACTATCGGCTTGTGTCTACGGTACAGCACGTCACGGTGATCAGATGGTCACCCACTCAGTTAAGTGGAAACAAGCTCTTTCAAGACGGTTTAACTGTAAGAACAAGTATTTCCGTGGTGGTAAATAGATGGGTTAAAAATGGGTAGATCGAGCCGGGAAGAATTCATGAATGCATTCAGAAGAGTGAATAGATAGGTTCAAAACCGATGCATGAATACAGGTTTGGTGGAAAAAAAGAACAAGCCAGGGTGATGGACGAACGCAGGATTGAGGAACGGATATGAGGATGGGCATATCTGATGTAGATAAATGGATGGATGGGCGATTGAATGACTGGATTGATTTAGGATGGACAAACGACTCCTCGATGGATGAGTGGATGGGATGGTTACATTGAGGGATTGAGTGGTGAAAAAACAAACCCACCGCTGAATGGTTAAGAGGTGGACGGATATCTCCACATAAAAAGGATGAGGGGACCCGTGGATGTTACAGGAGTGGTAAAATTATCAGGGAGAGAGGTACAAAGAAACCCACCAATTCTAAAAAGTCCCTTCGAAACGCCGGTCCAATCGTACCATTCTTTACTGGTGTGCGATCCAAAGGTCGCAAAATCAACTGTTCCACACGGTGGAAGGGCCTGAAACAACACAGTCAATCGGAGTGAAATAAGCCTTCACAGTCTTGTGCTTATGACAATCGAATGGGCTTGCCATCGACGTCACATATATGTAATATGTGGAATTTCCAATAGCTTACAACAACTGGCATCATGCAGTCGAGGATCACGAATAGTTGGTTTGATGATTAAAAGACGAGGGTGAAATTAATTCCTACCTCTTTCAAGGTGAAATGAGGACGCTGAATAGTTGAATGAATGAGAGAACAAATAACTATGTGGATAGATAGGTGGATAACCCGAGCATTTGGTGTAACAACTGCATGAAGTGTAGAACGTTCTAGAAGTTAAAATCACGCACCCAAAATGAGTATCAAAGTAATTCTTTTCAAAACGTGCGCGTGATCGCGGATCACTCCACAGATCCACTGGGTTGGTAGTCACTGTGAACATCGTCAGACCACAGCAGAGAATCGCCACAAAGGTGGCTGAGAAGAAGAGCGTTGCAGTTGGATAATGGGCGATTAGGAGACCCAGACGTGCGAAGCCCTACGAAATTGGAAGAATACAGGGGCATCGGTTAATGAACTCGTCGCCAGTACCATGTGAAAGTGACACCCTGGTTTACCTTCTCTCAGCCCTCATATGTTTTGGAGATAACTAGTCGAAGCAAATTGTGCGGCACACAGATTACTTGGTTCCCCAAAAGCAGCGTAATAGCACTTTTTTAAAGTTATTTGGCAAATGGATTAATAACGCTTGGTGCCACATGAGAGGGATGAAACTTTTGGGCTGCTGCATTCGCCTTTACCTTGAGACGAACGTCAGCAAAGAACTCGTTAACAGTAAATATAATCTACCTAGGTGAGCTACAAATCTTTTAATTGTGAATAGAGAAGCTTGAAAAGGCATTCAAGAGATTTTCCAATTATTCACCTAGTAAACTACTTCGCAATGATTTGAGAATAAGTCAGGGGGCTAGACAAACCTTAAAGAGAGCCAAATCCACAGCACCACCGAGTCTTTCTCGCCATATGGCGTGGTGATCATCACTGGATGGTGTCGAAATGAGCAATTCTGTGTCCCCCTCACTTCCAGCATGCTGGTGACGTTGAGGTGTGCGGCAGTAACGTGATGCCTCAATGCCGATGAAGGATAGAAGAAGGACGGCAAACACGCCGCCGGAAATCAGCCACGGGAGAGGAGCTCCTGCAATAGGAAATAGGAAAGGGTGGATAAATTAGCAGACATACTTCAATACTTGAGTCAGTCCAATATCTTATGGTTCGATTGCCATTTTGATAACATAAGGCGCTGCTCTCAGCCTATTATCTCTTCCAAACGATAGTAAAAAACAGCTTTGTAACCATTTCAGGGGTAACTCAGGTGCTACACTGGTGACAGTGATGATGAGCTCACGCCGAAAAAGAAAACAATGAATCCAGATTTCGCTGAATGCTAAAGTTAAAGAAGAACGGACAGACTGAATAAATTGGCATCAATTCCGAGAGGGAACAGCTGAACTAACTCACCAAACACGAAAATGGGTGTATCCGGCTGCGGAAAGTCGGGTTCCAGGCATGCGGGCGGACAATCGGAGCAGTCACAGGCTTCTTGACCTGGGTTCGGCCCCAGAGGGGGGAGGCGCGCGTCACAGGCGTAAGTAGGCGCGTCCATCGCTTGGGAGGAGGGCTGACCGACCAAGGTGAAGTCGATATCGAAAGGCGCCCGCCCGCCGTTGTCCGTCGACGTGCCGAGAGCTTCCATCAACTTCGGCAGGGTGCACTGAGTGTCTCCGCAAATGATTGATATTGCTGGTGAACCGGAAAACTGAACATTCTAGAAGGGTAGACGTCATCAGCTGTGACTCATAGAGATCGAGAGTCCTGTAGAAGTTACCCAGCTCTTCTGGTTAAAAACATCCTTTGACTGTGCCATTTTTAATTATCTCGCGATTCGGCTTCTCGCTTGAGGCATGAACTATGCAACCTGTCTCACAGCTCTTTTCTATACTTATAATGAAGCAAATCCCGAACGCAAGCAACCCATAACGAATTCAAACATAATTCGATCGACACATTGGCTAACCTACTTAAAAGAACACCGCTTTTCGCTAGCTAGAAGGCATCTACTGGGGTAGCTGAATCTGCAGACCTACAACAATAGGATTGCAGAAATGGCGCTGATTTTTGGCACTAACTGTGTGATAGTGAGTAAATTAGTGAAATCAAACATTACGGAAGCAGCAACTTATGGTGGGGATATTAAAAACCTATACTGTATTGCGTCTTAAGAAGTTCCATAACATTAAAGCGGTAATGTCTAATTTGGTCCTTTCGATTTCGTGAAAAACAATTAGTGCACGAAATGCATTCGTTGCACAAAGGGCACCCAGTTTAGAACAGTGCGGGAAGGAAAGCATTATTTCCGCTTTAATCCGTCTGCATTTTATTTACAATGAAGCTACACATTGACCCGGGTATAACTTAAATCAAATGCGTTGGTAAATATAAATGTGGCACTACTTCACAAAATGAGTACTTACTGCACAACTGTTAAAGAAGCCCTCTCCAAACTGGTGAGTGAGAGTATACTTCACCCGCTTTACAGCTTTGTCCTCACGAATGGTAACCGCGGATAGAAAGTCGCTTTGAGCGGGATTGCAGGTCATCTCGCAGAAAAGACGACGGAAGTTGGCAAAGCATGAAGGACAACTACACATTCAAAAGTGAATTCAAACGACAAATTTGAAGCATACCTTCCCAGGAACATTTTAACTAACTGCAGAGAGGTCACAAACACTTCGATCTGGTCAGGTGGGCAGCAAACAGGAAGCGAGGCTGCAGGATCATTAGTGTTCAGGTACTCTGGACAGACTAACAGAAGTTTAGCTAGGGAGGAAGGCTCAGAAATAGGTTGGGGTGGCCCGGGTTTGTAGCAGTAGAGAGGATTCTCATCACTGGTCGTGTTGCACAAACCATGCCAAATGCACTGTCCACCTGCCACATACACGTAGTAAAACGACAGAAAGAAAACGATCGAGAGAGTTACTCGCAAGTAATGCTAAAAGTGAAGAAAACAAATTTTAATGAGCTTCAGATTACTTCACTATGCAACAAAGTCACTAAAATCAAGCAAAATTACTGAGAATCCAACACAGAAACCAAATCGCCTAAAATTTAATTGCAGAAAACATCAAAATGTCGAAATATTGAGTACGGAAGGGTAAAAGGCGGCAATAAAGCACATACCCACATTTCCAACCACAGAACACCACAGAACTGTTTTAAGTTAGGCCGGCTTCATTTTAGCCATTATAAACAAAATATTCATAAGTTACAAGCCCACTTTAATTTGCGGTTCTGACACCTTTGCCACGTTTTTATGCAGACGTTGTTTATGACAAAAAGTTTCACTATTTTATAACTTTTACAGTATTCGCTGAGGTTTTTGACCTTATTCCATTAGTGGCCCTAAAACTTGGGCCAGGCGATTGTAGATGTAAAAAGACTGCACTATGGGACTCCCTAATTGCAGATTAAACAATTTTTTTAGAAAGCAGCTGTGCTGCAGTGTGACTAATCTACCCTACTAAAACATTCACCCAGGTTATCAAAACGCACTATACCACGATCACACCAGCCACAACTTTCCCGCCATAATTCGAGTCCGGACTGATCCTAAAAGGAGGGTGAGACTGCGACCAGCTATACGTACTCTCGAATCTAACCTGACCATCCCGCACCAGAGTCTGAGTTATAGACGGAGTTTTAACCAGTGTCGCGTTAGTACGGTGAAATCTCGAACACACGAGAATTCCCCATCATATTCCCCTCATTAGGATCACACCCAGTAGTTGACTAGCCCCACTCAGCGGTCAAAAAAGCGGAGCAAAAGTAAAATATACAAATGTATCCACCTTTCCATTCTATACATTGCACTGCCTCTTACTTTCCTTTCTTCGGTCGATTGTGTCGAATTTTGGGGCCTAACTTCTTGGGCATAATTCGCATCGGCGCCTTCTTGCCTCTTTTTCCTTTGGTCTTCGGCCGTTGACTGCGTTTTTTCTTTTTAACCCCAGTAACTTGGCGTTTCGGCTGCGAATCACCTCCCAACAATCTTGACTCTCGCGCCATCTACAGGAAAAAAACAGGCATATGGATGGATAAGATTTTATGCCTAAGGTAGTAATTAAACCGAGAAAGCGTCAAAGTGCACAACTCACAATTTATCAAATCAAGTCGAAATGTACTAGATGTATCCTTCCATGACGAAAAATTTTAGCCGCTATTGCGTGATTCGACCTCTTTGACGATGGTGTGGACCGCCATTCAGGTTGCCATGTATCAATCTAGTCTTCCAGTGTCTCTAAAGGCTTATAATCAAGCGACTTAACGACTCGTATCATACACTGTGCATCGGCCTCAAGAGGACGCTAAGATGGTGACAACTAGGTGAGATACCACCTAACAAACAACGTAACAGCTCTCGTTTATGTCTTGAAGGCCATTTACGCATAAATAGATCAGCTACTTCCCACCATGGAAGGAATCTTCATGCAGTGGAGAAGTAAGGCCGCGGGAACTAACACTAGAAAAGGCAAAACTTTTGTAAACTGGTCCAACATGGAAATATGGATTATGATTAGTAACAAAGAGGGATGGGGCAGGCGGATGATAAGGAAACTTTAAACGATCAGTGATGGAAGACAAACGGTAGACTAGAGGGGCCAATATATCCACCACCTTCAAACAATTAAACAAAAAGGAGGGGGAAAGTCTCCTAAATTATTCAAAAGCTAAATAAATCAGCCAACATTCTAAGTGGAAACTACTGCAATACGTCGATTGTTTGTTTAGTTCTCGGTTTTGATAACAGGGCACTTGGGGGCTCCGCCGGATGGCTTATCCTTAAGACAAGACAGTAGCCTTCAAGTCCTTCTGTACATCAGCAACACATATTCTGTCCGGGTATCATGCCTTCTGCTGTCTTTAGGGAAATCTTGCGACGCTAAACGCCCACGCCACTATCGCAAAAATCGGTGCAAATCAAAATGGACAAACTGCACAATGAAACTCGGGCGCCTAAATTTTTCACAACTCACTTGAGATTTTTCTGCCCGTCGCCTTTTCTTCTCAAGAGCCCTTGAATTTTCCAACGAGAACTCCACAATCGGCTTCTAAGAATGTGAAAAAATCCGTGAAAGGGTGATCGAGTAGGGTTGATAGCATAGAAACGTGGATGGTTCACCCTATTGCCTCCGAGAACGCTGCTGTTGTTGTTAAGCGCATGTAGAGCTTTTAGAGCGTTCACGTGCTCTTCGAAGGCGACAAATGCATACCCCAAGGATTTGGGATGCTTTACACCGCTCTTCATATCGCGCATCACCCGACACTAGAAGGAAAAAGCATTAGAGACGATAGTGATTTAATAAACTGTTCTAGTTGCTAATAAATAACATTGATTCCAGCTTTATTTTCGACTTTATGGGTTGCCACTAGTCATAAAGCACGTCGACAACTGCTATCAACGGGTTCGCCAATTTTACGACTTTGAGTACTATGACCAAGGCCCTGGATCCTATCGAGACGTCCAGCTAGATAAATGATGTTTGAAGACTTTAGAGCAAATACCTTTAGCGAACAGGACTGAACAAAAGTACAACTGTTCAAAGTATTCAGAGATTAGCGACCAAACACTACTTATAGAAAACCGAAAAAGAATGCATTTCTGCGATTGCAGGTATCCTCGGCAGTTTGCAAATGAATGGGCAGAGATGAATGGCCTACAAATGAATCACCACTGTCACTCACCTCTGTGATGCGGGCTCCAGACCCCGCGATCCTCTGACAGGCCTGGCGCAGGGTCCGATCATCCACATTGAGAGGGATGTTGCGCACGCACAGACGCAGAGGACTGATGAAGATGCTGGGATCACGCAATTTCGCCTGCTTCGCTCGTGCCACCGCCTCTCGCATTGCCGCTTCCTTAGGTGTCATCGCCCCGGCTGCGCGACTGCCTGGCCGAATGACTGGACGAAGGAAGAGAAGGTGAGACGGAGAAAGCAGCGTTTGTAAAAACCTCAGTATCATCTTAAAAATGAGCCCTCCTCAACCAATGCTTTCCGATTATATGTAGAATGTCACTAGAACCAGCCAAATAGATGAGGGGTAGATGAGTGAATCGACTCAATCTTGGGTACTATAGGTTAGAACACGCACAACCATCTTAATATGAATCGCACTGCAACCAGCTCAAAATGCACGAAATGAAAGGCCACTGTATCCACCCATGAATAGACATTTTGGCCTTTCCAAGAATCCCACCAAAAATCATCACTAAAGGCACTTGACTTGAAGGCAAATTCTGTAGCTTAAAGGAGAATTGGCCCAAGTCTTGGAAGGAGGAGGACCTGATATGCCTTACCTTTCCTTAACAAAAAATTCAGTTGGCAGCACATTTTACACAACCTTTTTTGTTACCAGATTTTTACGAATAAACACATGCGGTAGGCTGGGAAGAGATCTCTGATTAAATAATTCTGGAAATTATCGATTAAAACCCTTGATACGAAAGCAGGAAGAAGTGAGTGGTGCAACATTATCAAGTAACAGAACTAAAAAAATTCCTTCACGCTTGAGAAGCCAAAAAAAAACAAACCAAATTGGAAAGCAGACTTGATTTGCACAAGAGGGAATTAAAAGGTAAAACATGAACGAGAAGGTAATGGTTAAAAAATTGTCCATACTGTGACCTAAGCGCTAACGACACTTAAACCTATCTTCAAAATGCAGTTTTCCTAATAGGAAAAATGTATAATTGGCAAAAGATTCCATCAAAAACAAGGCTTCAAGGCAAACACGACTCCTTGATGACGTGATTTGATCGGTGCCCCAGGGATAACTTCAGGCTTTATAGTGTAGTCACATCAAAATCCCGTTGAAAATGCTTGACAACACCGTAAGAGGAATGCTTTTGACCATGCAAAATAATATAAAATATTGTCTATCTAGCTAAGACATGCCAATATAGGGCGCACAGGAATGTATATTGAAATTAATACAGGATGGAAGACATCACTTTGAAGACGCAATAAATGCAAATGAAATCGCACTACAAGTTTATAAACAAACGTACGTCCAATGCGTGCAAGATGAAGATTTCTACCATCTGTACGGCCATTATGTGAAACCTTCTCACCAGAACGAGCCTTTTGAAGCTTAAGAACCTCTTCCCTACTAACAGCCAATGACAAAGCCAATGATCTGCCAGCAAAAACAAAGCGGTGCGCATTCTAAAATTCACAAAATGGTCGATTAAGAATTTCACCAAAAAATAGGGAAGTTGGTTTATAGGATCCAAACATACTTCTGGTTTAGAGCCTTGAAGCAGAATATTTTCAGCATCTTCTTTGGACTCAAATTTTGCGAATGCCGTTCCTCGGGGGTGCTGGGTAAGTTTGTCCTTGACAATTTTAACGAACTCAAGTTTGCCAAAGTTAGCGAAAAACTGGTAAAGACGATCCTCATCGGCATCAAAAGAAACATTTCTGATGAATATTGTTCGACCCTCTATCGTGTCTGATGGTCTGGCGTTGCGTTGGTTCCCGGCGCTTTGCTGCTGCCTAGTGCTTTGATGGCTAGTGCCCTCAAACTTCTCCTCAATGTCATCACTGCCATCCATACTGCCGTCTGTTATTGTTGGTTCATTGCCTGACATTTGTGGTTTAATTGGTTTTCTGGGCTTCTTTGCGATGAAAAACTCATTGGAGACCTGTCGATCCCCATCTTTCGTTGCAGGAGGCACATCCGACCCTGACCTCCGCCCCATCTAACCACAAGATCGAGCGCTCGAATGCATTGCTTATTAACAACGAAAACTAAAACATAACTTATGAATATTGTACGAATTAATGGTGTTTGTTTAAAAAACAAAATAAGTACTCTAATACACTCATTTATAATAATTCTTGGATTAATAAACGTCTTAATAGCTGATAAGTTTCACAGTAACAACAAAAGCATTGTAAACAAGTAATTCCGATAATTACATTGAGGTATTGGGTATTCGGCTACTGTATATGTAGTTCATAATTTCCAAAGTCAAATCGCACCTCAAATCTATAAACGCACATGTGTAATTAGTGTTAAGTAGGGCTGGAACTTGACGGACAACCTGCAGAAACCGATAAGGTACTGCAATCAGTTAGCCATTTATACGGAACGCTTCTTCCTTTTTTACATTTATATTTTTAAGGAACATCAAGCGTTGTTGCAACACTCCAAAACTTTTGTGAAGATGAAAGAAGATATTATATTCGGACAGAATATGTATATTATACATACAGAATGCGCTAGGGCTGCTGGCTTGGCCTGAAGACCAGTTCACCCAGTATGATACTATGGTCAGGATAAAGTATCCCTTTACCAATGCCAATCATTAAACTCACATCCAACCTATTACAGTCGATAGTATTAAGCAAACGTCTAAAGAACATGAGTTGAAATTGGTCTGCTCTATTCTTTCTGGGCTTGAAACCATGGCAGTGGAGGTTATAAAGTTGGATTTCTATTAAAACTATCTTAGCAGGCACTTTGACGTAAGTGCGCTAGTTCGCCCGTCCTTTTACCCTTCAATTGCCCTTAAAATTAAAAATTTTTAATTCACCTCACAATATTTTTGCAGGCTTACCCACACCGACTTAGTAAATTATGCCTTCCAAGGGGATTCAGAAACCCATATAATCAATCGTAACTCGCATTCTATTGAAGTAAACGAGTGTTGTTTTTCTCCCAAACGAAAAGCATTAAATGGTAGAAATCGAGTTGTAAAGCGCAACTGAACAATCCCATGACAAAAACAAAATTAGTAGGGTTTTAGCGTCTAAGCCTCTAAAAAAGAGGAGTTTCACTCTAACTTAGGATCCTGCTTGGTAAAAACGGTCGCCATAACAAAACACACCTCAGTTGTCTGAGGCAGTGACAGTGTTACCACTAAACTCTTCGTAAATTACGTACAAAATATTGAAAGCGAATTGGTCTTAGCACCAATCAGGTAAACGCGCGGTATCCCCTCTAGCACTCTGTTACCTTGATGAACTGGGGTAGATATGGCCAAGCAGTACTGACGTGAGGAAAAAGTAACAATAAGGGTTAGGTGCAAGATTATATGTGAGCAAAATTAATTGAAATACTAAAATTTTGAAAGACCGGTGCTTTTAGTCCAGTATTTCTTCTACTGAAGGTTTAAACATGAGATGAACAACACACTAACATTTTAAAAAATTGAGCCACCAATCAGGGCAGAACTATCAATTTATTAAAAACTCAAAGAAAATTCACTGACTTTAGGGTCAGGTATCTTCTAAGTTAGGCGCAAATTTGGTGATTTACAATGTTAAATAGTGAGTATTTCTATAAGGCACGTATTAGGTTGTGCGGCCAAATTCAGGAAGTCAACGTCGCTTAAAAGAAGAGTGGAGTCTATGCAGTACTTTAACTACTTGTTTAACTCTTAACTTTGCTTTTAAGGGCGCCCAAGTTTCTACATCTGCATGTATGCTGGGCGGCACGGCCTCTTAGCCATGCAAGTAGCCCATGCCACTTCCGTGCATAAGGCCTGCATAATTTACACCAATAATGCCTTCTTTCATATTTAAAAAAGTAGTTCTTAGGGTGAAA